ACTTGGAATGAAGTTTAATCTGTAATGTATTTTCCATTTTGTTCGATGACCTTTTGCCATCTCTCTGACAACTTGAAAATTCCACGCTCGTAGAAAGTCTGATCCTTTTCGGCCAAAAACTGAGTTAAGTGAGATTTTACAGCGTCATCATGATTAAAAGTTTTACCACGAAGGGAGTTGTCCAGGGATCTAAATAAGTGGTAATCCGATGGCGCGAGATCAGGGCTATATGGTGGGTGTAACATCAATTCCCAACCAATATCCATCAATTTTTGCCGAGTGGACAAAGACGTGTGCGGTCAATTCTGGTCGTTTTTCCTTGACCGCTGCATTCAATTTGTCCTGTTGCTAACATTCGCGGATAATAAAAAATAACATAATAATAATAATAATAATAATAATAATAATAATAATAATAATAATAATAATAATAATAATAATAATAATTTTATAATAATAATAATTTTATAATATAACATTTACGGATATCATAAAAATGGGAGTGAGAGACATCTATAACTGAAATCGGCAATTACTTAGTTGCCAATCCAATACTGGCGACACTCACGCTACGACCAGGGGTAAATGCAATCCCTGGCGAAAAGTATTCGAACACCTCTTGAAATGCAATAACTTTTTAAGGGGTGGTTCTAGTGCGAAGTACGCGTGTTTTTAACTTCGTTAGGGAATCTTTTGCGAAGAGACTATTATACGTTTTGCAGTCGGATTGACAAGGTTTATTTGTACGTGTTTCAACGACGTTTTAAAATGTTTCGGAACAAAAGAAAGTTAAAATTAATCTACGTACTCTCAAACATAGTCGCATTCTGCTTGTCTGAAATTAAAAAAAAACGTGAAATTTCCTTCATTGGTATGAATTTGGCTGGAGCGGGTCGCGGAACGAAAGAAAGAAGTCGGTAATTAAAAATGTGGCAATACTTCGAAATTTACTTTACATTAAAATTTTTGGTACATAATCTGGTTCTTCGAAGGAAATATTCTTAGTATTTAAAAAATGCTCGTCCGCGAAGTGTTAAACTTCGGAGGCCCAAAAAATAAAGAAAATAATCAAAATTTATAGGCGATTCTAGTAGGGTCGGTTCTAGTCGCATGTGTATGTGCTAAATGCATACTTAAAATTTTTGCTGAATTGGACAAGTAGCCTTTAAAGTTTAGGAAATCGATAATCGCGTCCTTCAAACCATAACTTCGTTAATTTTAGGCGATCGCATGCAAGGTTTCAGAGATGTATTTTTGAAACTACACTTTAAGAATATGCAAACAAAAAGTTTGACTCTTTCAAAAGTTCACACTAAAATACGCCCTTAAAAATTCGACTAAACCAACCTGAATTTTTTTTAAATGTTAAAGGGGCTAGTTTACTGTACAATGGCTGGAATACTTTTCCTTGATTTTGTTGTTACTTGTAATGGCAAGAAAAAATTAAGAAAAAACTCTCGTTCGTTAACATTTTTATCTGAGCCTGGAGCGAAAATTTAAAAAATGCGTTTTGTAGATCTCGGTAACTTATATGTATATGTACATACTGAAAATTTTATTGAAATCGATTGAAGCATGGTCAAAATGTTTTGTAATTCAATAACGTCTATCGATTTCGATGAAATTTTCGGTATGCATTTTTCTTTTCTTTTTGCAACGGGTAATCTTTTCATTCTGAAAGCAAATTTTTCTCCAATTCTAGTTTTTGTATAACAACGTATATGACGACGGAAAGTTGCATAATGATCCTCCGTCTACGTATAAGTTATCAAAATCGAAGTCTACAGAACTTAGTACCATTAGGAATGTCTATTTTCTAGCTACAAATGCACGTGGTACTAGGGATAGACCATTCTGAACTCATCTTTCCCAAGCGATTTTCGATATTTTTTAATCGATTCTTGGATATTCGATTTTGAAAGGAATCGATGAAAGTCGTCATAATGCCATAAATTCATCGCTTTCAAATATATATATATAAATATACCAATAAATTATATATATATATAAATTCCAATTTATATATATATAAATCCAATCCAATTTATATATATATAAATTCCAAATAAATATACCAATCTAATTTAAAAGTTAGTACAGCACCTCATCATAAGATACTGTAATCAGCATTTCGCACGATAGTGTTGTAAATGCTGTACACTTAATATTGAAATACTTCCTTATTGGAGTGTAATAATATGTATATATATATATATTATTACAC